CATGTCATTCCAAACCTGTATGAGTTTCTTTCCTCTCTTGAGCACAAAAGAAGATATTTTGGAGAATGTTGGTAACCAATGAGTTGATGGCAGCATTGTATTTTTTTTTTCTCCATATTATGGAAGTCAATGGCTACCGTCAACTTTTTGGTTACCAACATTCTTCAAAATATCTTCTTTTGTGTTCAACAGAAGGAGGAAATTCATAAAGGTTTGGAACACCATGAGGGTACGGAAATGATAACAGAATTTTCATTTTTGGGTGAACTATCCCTTTAAAAAACGTTTACACAGATGAACTGTTCAACCTGAAAGAACCATACAGCACCAAAAGTACTAACAGTGGCCAGTGGTAAATCTTGCATAATGATAGTTTGTTTTAGTTTTTTCATCTTACCATTCTTGCAGTCTTCATCAGCCTGATCGTAGTCTTTCTGTTGAATCAAAAAAGCACAAATTGTTTGTTACTTTTCCACCCTCCTAATCTAAAACTATCAGCTATGGGGTGTAAAAATAACTAAGAAATGATAGTGAAAATTATAGGCACTGTGAAAGGTCCACATTAATTCATACTTGAGCACTTAAAAGCAATAATGTAAACTACTCCGTTTTTGAAATTTACTTATAAAAATCAATAGAAGATCACTGAAGATTTTCTCAGCAAATTAACTTCGACCTGTATAACAACCATTTTTCTTTATGTTTTGACTTCATAGAGCTTTAGAAAACAGCAAATGTTCCTGAAACCTTTCACCTGAAACAAACTCAGCAGACACTAGTTTTATAGTTGTTTGACTCTTGAACCTAGTTGTTTAGAGACTAACAATTGAGTTTGCACTCAAGCTCATCTTCAAAAGATGGTTTTATCTTTTAATTAAAAACACTGTAGTTGATTTTTGCAAAGAGACAAGGCAGGAAATTAATACACATCAGCAGACAAATGGGAATTTTATTTTAAAGTGGGCTTTTTTTGGTTAAGTAACAGTGATAAACAGTAAATATAAGTCTGTAATAGGGCTGCACGATTAATCGAATGCGATTGTCATGCACATTTTGGGTTTTGTGCTCCAGGGTTTGTGGTCCAGAGTATTTGGACACATAAATCTGCAATAGATTTTCTCTTCACTTTATTATTTTTGCTCCAAGTCTTTTAATCAGGTGTGTATGTATTGTTACATAATGCTGTGACGTTCAGATTTTAAGTGCAACTAATGTGTCTTTTCATTTGGAATTAAGCCGTTGCTCTAGATTTTCAAATTTACGATTATTATTCAAGCCAGAAACAACGATAAAAGCAGCCGAAGACACATAACGAACTATGTTTATCTGAAGAACTGTAACTTGCTGAACACATAAAATGGCATTCAAATACAGATTTTCACACCGGTTGCACTGGTTTGCGCAAATACTGTTGTAGTGTGGTGTCATTTTCCCTTTTCTGTAATAATTAGGTCACAGCTGTAACGTCCATCTGGGCTGAGCTAGCGGAGGCTGCCGTGAATGCTTTTTCCACATTGTTTGCTCCAAAAATTGCATTCCAAGCAACTAAACCAAAATCCCACTAATCTCCAAGCAATATTATATATCTGATGACCAGCATATGAGAAGACACAAGCAACAGTTCGGCCAAAATTACACTTCAGTTATGGGTATAACTTTATACTATCAAATTAAAATAATAGCAAATGAAATAAAGATACTACTGCAATAGTATTTTGTACATTCCTTGTTTTTTTTTTTTAAGTTTAGTTTTTAGTAAGTTCTATTTTTTGTTCTTTTCATGTCTTTATTTTGACAGGACAGTAGAGATTTGACAGGAAAGCATAAGGACCTCGAGACTGGAATCAAACTCAGGTTAATAGCAATAACTGTATCTGCATAATGTCCAGTTTCCATGTGTAACACACACCCTGTGCAGAGTCTCACTTACACACACACACACACACACACAGAGAGAGAGAGAGAATGGGACTGTCAGGTATCACACAATAACACAGTCTCCGCAGACCAACATCTAATTAACCTCCAGCACACCAAACAAGGCAACAGAGCCTCAGTAAAATATATAAACACTCTATATTTGGATTCCGGGTCAGTTAATAATAGATGTCCCGTCTGAGCGCGAGTGTGTGGCCGCGTCTCAAAAGCTAGCGAGCTGCCTACCCAGACAGCATCCTTCGAGACGCTCGGTTCCAGCGTTCGATTCGAACGTTCAAAAAACGCGTTTACGACGCCCAAACGTGATGTCTAGGAAGGCAGCCCGCTAGGTTTTGAAACACAGCCACTGTGTCCATCCAGAAGAACAACAACAACTGCGTGTGTGCCGCCACACACCAAATCAGCCACAAAGTGCATTATATACACGATACACGATCACAGGACGAGAATAGCGGTTGATAATCACGATTAAATCATGAGAGAGAACGGTTGTAATATCTGTGTGTGGACTGCGATGATCGCTGCTCGCATGGCCTTGAGTTCCAGCCGCCCCCGGACACACAGATTCACACGATCCTGCAACATTAACACAACAATCTGCACTGAATCTCACTCTCACACACCTCGCGCTCACGCATCCGCCCGTGTGTGATGATGAACGGCACAGATGGGAAGCGAATATCGCAGTTCGACGCGAGCATCTTTAGCTGCTAGTCAGTGCAGCGCAGCTGCGACCAGGCCTTTTCATCATCACATTAATCGTGCGAACGCGCGGCGCTATTTGCCGCGTTCTGACGCGCGGTACACGCGAGCTGACAGGCGCGTCTTGATGGCGGGATCGACGGCAGGCAGGGGTGAGGAGGGTGAACGCTGCACGACCGGAAGGTGTTAGAGGAAGTCTGCACTTACCTAGCTTTACTTTCTACGCCATCTTGGATCCACTTGTCAGCCTGTCGCGGTGCATTATGGGTCAAATATTTCTGCGCACTGCTTCCTGCCAGCGCGGAACACAACACTGCAGGACTCTCACGCGAATCTTTCAGGGTTTTTTTTAATTTTTTTAATGCTCATAAACAGTATACAAACAGTAATACAAATATCAACAAATAAAAATGTCAAAAATAAATAAATAATTTAAAAAGGGGGTGTTTAATACATTACAAACTGGATATTTTTTTTTTTTGATACATGTCATTAAAAATAGGAAAAGAGTTACAAACAGATAAAGTTTTTAAAGCTTATTTTTTTCTTTGACAATTGGATCAATGAAAGGCTTTGTTCGAATTCTTTCCTGAAAACAAAAAAGAGAGGCCTGGAGTTTATTTGAGAATATGTGCATCGGTGAATGTGGAATTTTGCAAGCAGCAAAATCAGATTCACTACATAAAACTGACTGTTCATTCTCAGTAAAACCCAGCACTGAGATGATCAAGAGTCATCACAAAAAGAGCAAATGGAGCGAAAATCACTTTTGAATTTCTTCATGATTTGCAGGATAGAACTTATGAATTATTTTGTAAGAAATCTCCTTTGCTTTGTTAGTTGATAAATAAGTATGAGGAAGCATCCACACGTTTTCCCAGCAGATGTTACCCACTGCATTAATCCAACAAGCAGTCACCGCTGGCAGAATAATTAATATCCTGCTGAAATAATGAGCGCTTTTTCAGCTTTTTATTTCCAGGGGCCCGCAAATATGACGGTCCCCTCTCCCACTCCCTTCATAAAATATAAAGACAGCTGTATAGTTTCATGTAGAAAAAGCCATTTATATTGATCTAGGCCTATGTAATTACTAATAATTGACTTTTAAATAAATAAATAAATAAAATCTGGAAAATATTTACTTTTTTATTATATTGACGGTGAGTTTTTTTTCCCTACTCAATTATTCGATGTATAAACCTCAGACACATATTTTTTATTCAAAATTCAAATGGATTTGTATAGAACTTCAACTTCACACTAATTAAAAAAAAAAATGTTTTTAATTATTTTAATTATTTTCTCTTATGCTCACCAAGGCCGCATTTATTTATTCAAAAATACAGTTAAAACAGTAATATTGTGAAATTTTATTATAATTATAAAAGTGTTCTATTATTACTATTTAGACAGACAGACAGACAGATCTGTTCTTTGATCAATGCATCCTTTTTGAAAAAAAAAGTACCCCAAATCTATTCTATCAGATATAATAATAATAATATATTATAATAGATAGATTTTTGAACTTTTGCCATCTGGTCGGCGTCACAGAGCACCGAATACCAGGACAGCCAGGCACAAGAACAGTTTCTTTCCCCATATGAACAGTTAATGTTCTCCCATTGTGCAATTAAAGTATGTGCAATAACCTTATACTTATTTATCACC